AGTAATTGAGTTAGTCCATTGTGTTTGGTAATTGTATCACAGGCAGAGGGGAGGGCTTGTGTACATTATCTGGGAGTGCCTAACTGTACAAGAGTGGTTTGATTAGCTTTGTAACTTTGTGTCCTGTGTACCACAAGGTCCACATGGGTGGTAACCTTGTGGGAAAAATTGTATAAAAGAGACAATAAACCCTCAGTTCATTCTGTTCCTGTTTGACCCTCAACACGTAGTCTTGTCTCGTGATTGGAGGGGAACTGCTATAATCACACTGGGGTTTGCTATACTTTGTATACTCTCTTGAGCTCTAATCACTTAGCTCTTTTAAGAGCTGTTTCTGATACGCTCTCCTGGAGGAGAGGTCTTTTCCACATGGTCCTGGAGGACAGAAGCTGATCCAGGGTAGAAGGAAGACGGCGAGACTCCAGTTAAGCTACGGCGGTTGTAGAGTCTGCGATGGTTGTGGTGTCCGATGCGGTGCTTGTGGTCCTCGGCCACAGCCATCGAGCACCCTAGCGAAGTTTGTACAGTGTTATGTACAATCCCTTTTGATTCTAGTGATGGCCAAAGGGCTATATGGTCCTAGGGCCCAACACCGCTATATCGGTAAATGTTGCTTCATGCCATGCAGATCATGCTGATTTTGCAGAGATATATGATGGCACACCTTGCAACTCCAGCAGCGTTCTCAAATCTATATATGACATGCTCCACCTGAGTAGTAGAATCCACAATACAATCTGTGAGTTTCATGAATAAGAAGGGCCATTTCTTTGTATTGTCACTTAGCCCCTGAACTGCTTTATGTGTCTGGAGTGTTCCTTTAACCCCTTAAGGACACATGACATGTGTGACATGTCTTGATTCCCTTTTATTCCAGAAGTTTGGTCCTTAAGGGGTTAATAGTATTTGTTGCTGAGCCGGATGGGAGTTGAACTTTGCAGGTTTTGTTTTTAAATTAATCAGTTTTTTCTCCCTGTGTTTCACTGTAGTGGTAATGATGCCGAGTGTGTCTTAGCAGCTGTCGTTCAATTAGAAGCCAAATTTACTTGGGTTTCTTGGTGTCTGGCCATTACAGTCTTTTGTGATATTGCAAATAAGTTCCCATCTCACTTTAGTAATCTCAGTTTTGTCTCTATTAGGATTTATTACCTGAAGCTTTCAGGCAATCGGAAAAATTTGGGGGAAAATATTGTTTCAGAGAGACCAAATTTAGCCAAAACATTTTAATTACCAAAATCTGAAGCTGTTATTTCTGATAGGCAATGAAAAAAGTGGAAGTAACAAATTTACACAGTACCAGCTTAGGGAGCTATCAGCTAAACAGCAGAAAGAGAAAATGATTAAGTTGCTAAACTGTCTTTTCTTAATTTTGCTTTTTCAGCAGTTTAGTAGATTACCCTCTAATATGCTACCCCTTTGTGGGATTGCCTTAAGTATGGCAATTATCAAATAAGGGCATTCTCTGCTAAACAGCACCCTAATGTGGTATACTTAAATATGGCAATCCTACATAAGGGTACCTATTTAGGGAGTAAACTGTTGCTGAAAGAGCAAAATTAAGAAAAACCCATTCAGCAATTTAACAGATTATTCCCTAATTTGGTAATCTTAATTATGAAAATCCCATGTAAGGATACGCAGCTATCTACTAAAAAGCTGAAAAATCTAAATTGAAAAGAAAGCCCTTTTCTGTTGCTGTTTAGTAGATCATTTCTGCCTTTTCTATTCTTATGTGGGCTTGCCATATTTAAGGATACAAAATCAGTGAGCTATCCACTAAACTGCTGACATTAAGACCTTAAGACATTAAGAGAAGCCATTCGATAACTCCATATATTATCATTATTTTTTTTAATGCTGGAGATGCATTATGAAGTTACATATAACAGAAACATGCACAATTTGAAAAACATTAGTGAATTCCTGGGTATATATTCCCATTTTATAATATTATATAACGGTCCACCTTTTCCACCGTCAGAAGTTGAAAAATAGCAATAATACTAATGGACAGGGCCGGACTGGGGAAAAAATTTGTCCCGGGCATTTTTAATTACAGCGGCCCACTGAAAAGGGGGCGGGGCCAGATAGGGTGTGTTTTGTCATCCCCAATGACAAGCACGCCCCATCTCAAAGTGAGCATGTTGGTTCAATGCTCTTCCAGGGCATAAGAAAAGGGCCCTGTATTTGATCTGCACAGCGCAAGCAAATTTAATAACATGCTTGCATTGTGTTTGCTTGAAACTTGTCTCAGGGGTTTCCATAATTGGAATACTCACTGTATTCCATTTATGGAGACACTATGTGTTTGCTTAAAGGATATCTAGTGTGTTCATAGGGGATCCTGAGTGTGTATGTCAGAAATGTAGTGTGTGTGTAAGTGGTGCAGCGTCTGTGTGTAGGGGATCTAGTGTGTGTTTGAAAGACTCAGGAGTGCGTATAGGAGATCTAGTGAGTGTGTGACTGGTGCAGTGTGTTTGGGGGGTGCTGTGTGTGTGAGGGGTGTAGTGTGCATTTGTGAGGAGTATAGTGTGTGTGGGAGGGTGCAGTATGTGTGTGGGAGGGTGCTGTGTGTGAGGGCGCTGTGTGTGAGGGCACTGTGCGAGGGTTCTGTGTATTTGAGGGTGCTGTGTATTTGAGGGTGATGTGTGTGTTGGGGTGCTGTGTGTGTTGGGGTGCTGTGTGTGTGTTGGGTTGCTGTGTGTGTTGGGTTGCTGTGTATGTGTTGGGGTGATGTGTGTGTGTGTGTGTGCTAGGTTGCTGTATGTGTTAGGGTGCTGTGTCAATGTTAGGATGCTGTGTCAATGTTAGGGTGCTGGTGTTAGGGTGCTGTGTGTGTGTGTGTTAGGGTGCTGTGTCAATGTTAGGGTGCTGGTGTTAGGGTGCTGTGTGTGTTTTAGGGTGCTGTGTGAGTGTTAGGGTGCTATGTGTGTGTTAGGGTGCTGTGTGTGTGTTAGGGTGATGTGTCAATGTTAGGGTGCTGGTATTAGGGTGCTATGTGTGTGTTGGGGTGCTGGTGTTAGGGTGCTGTGTGTGTGTTAGGGTTCTGTGTCAATGTTAGGGTGCTGTGTGTGTGTTAGGGTGCTGTGTCAATGTTAGGGTGCTGTGTGTGTGTTAGGGTGCTGTGTCAATGTTAGGGTGCTGGTGTTAGGGTGCTGTGTATGTGTTAGGGTGCTGGGTGAGGGTGATGTGTGTGTTTGCCAGGATTTTGTATTGGGGGAGGCAGGTAAATGGCACTATTAATGTTTTACTAAAAAATAAAAATAAATACATAATAATAAATAATAATAATAAATAATAAAAATAAATACATACTAATAAATACTAATAATAAATACTAATAATAAATAATAAAAATAAATACATAATAATAAATACTAATAATAAATACTAATAATAAATAATAAAAATAAATACATTATATCCATTACATTATATGGAGGGGGGTCGTGCTCCTGCCAGCCATCCCTGGTGGTCCTCGTGGTTAGTGAACTCTAGCCCTTTGCGGCTAGAGTTCACTCTCGCGAGACCCGGCCGGTTGCCATAGCAACGGTCCGGATCTCGCGAGAGAAACCCGGCGGAGCTGCAAGTTAGAGCTCCGCCGGGTCCTCTCTCCTGGGGGCTGTCTCCCTCCCTCTCTCCCCGCCGGCGGCTGCGTTTGAGTGCATGTGGGCCGGTGAGGGAGATCTTTGATCTCCCCACCGGCCCTCCATGGAAGACAGCGGGGCCGGCGCTCAGATAGTGCAGGCCCTGCATAGACCGGCAGGGGAGATCCTGTGATCTCCCCTGTCGGCCTCGGCCCATGGCCACCGCGGCCCACCGGGCATTTTCCCGGTGTGCCCGATGGCCAGTCCGGGCCTGCTAATGGAACATTAGACTGCGAAAAACAAAGAATCCTTGATACGACTTAAAGGGACACTCCAGGCACCAAGACAACTTATTCCCATCGGAGTGGTCTGGGTGCCAACTCCCACTACCCTTAACCCTGCAACTGTAAATATTGCAGTTTTCATAAATTTTCATAAATGCTTTCCTATGGGGAGGTCTAATGCGCGTTCACGACATTGCCGCGCATGCGCATTAGGTCTCCCCCGCCGGCAGCCGCGCATGCGCAATAGGTCTCCCTCACCGGATGACGCCGGAGGGGGAGGAGCGTGGGCAGACCCTGAACCAGCACCGAGGGACATCGGCGCTGGATGAAGGTAAGTCACTGAAGGGGTTTTAACCCCTTCAGCAACTTGGGGTGGGAGGGATAGGGGACCTGCAGTGCCAGGAAAACGGTTTGTTTTCCTGGCACTGGAGAGTCCCTTTAAGACTACTTAAGCCAATGTCACGGGTTTTGAGGTGAATGGGCTCAGTATGCAGAGATTTTATATGCACACAGTCACTGAATTAAATGTTTTATTTTGAAAACAAATAAATAAAATGCAAAAGTCTCAATAGAAGTATAAACGGTAAATACAGCAATTCCTTCATAAGAAATAAAAGTCTTTAAACAAAAATAAAGTATTTTACCAGAGTTTCAGCACTTGGCAAATTATGAAATGCTTAATTAACCCCTTAAGGACACAGCTTCAGAAGCTTGTCTTGCACTTAATGACACAAGCATTTTTTGTTGTTTGCGTTCAACTGCAATTTGCATTTTACTAATTTATTGCACCGACACATATTATATATCGTTTTTAAAGGACAGAAAGGGCTTTAATTTGATGTAACATATATATATACAGTTTTTACAATAATAATGTGTGCATTATTAGTGCAGCTTAAGGAAAGTAATTAAAAATAAATTAATTTAATTGTTCTGATTTACAGAATATTTGTCTAGGATTTAAACATTTTTTTGGTAGTTACAGGTCACAAAACACAAGGAGTAAAATAAACTTTTAATGTGGACCGATTTTAGAATCTGGTATGTTTGTCTTGTAAGCTTAATAGCCATAAAAAAAAAAAAAAAAATTGCCACACAAAAGTATATATTTATATAAAGTAGACATCAAAGGCTATTTACCTAAAGGGACACTATAGTCACCTGAACAACTTTAGCTTAATAAAGCAGTTTTGGTGTATAGAACATGCACATGCAGCCTCACTGCTCAATCCTCTGCCATGCAGCCCGAAGCGGCGGTTCTGCTCTGGTCGGGGGGCGTTGGGCCGTGAACCTCTGATGCGCAGCCGTCATGTGAACCTCTGATGCGCAGCCGCCTCACACCACGATAGTCTGACCTGCGATCTGCTGCCCGGCAATGGCCAGAATAAGTGCATCCTTTAGGCCCCTACAGGCAGAGCCCTAGGAATAGGGTTATAATCTACAGCCCTGAATGCCATAGCGCCACATCGGTGGACCCTCCCAGGGTATCGGGGGAGCCTACTTGTCCACCATGAGGGACAGCCACGTTAAGGTAGAGGAGACATGCAGGGCAGCACAGTTTATGGTACCCCTCCCCTGGAAGGGAAGCTGGCATCACAACAGGTATGCATGGGCATGGATCGATGGACCTAGGGGTCATGGGACAGGTGTCAGGTTTAAGCACGTGGCCAGCATCACCCTGCTACGACAGGAGCTACTGCAGATCCAGATTGCATGGTTATTGATCCTCTAAATACCTAGGTTGCTTATGATGAGAGGGTGCTAGCTTGAGGGGTGCTGTGAATGTGCCCCGGGTCACATGGAATACAATGCATAACCCCAGTGGGCTTCATTCTAGGATGCTCCAGCAGGGCGCGAACACGACAGTACAAGACGAAAATTGACTATCACGACTAGTGAGGTCCAGATAGGTAGGGGAGGCACTAACAAGTAACACCCTGGCACCGCAAAGCAGATACCCCACAGGCAACGCAGCACACTAGGACTCACAGACTGGAAACAACATAACTTACCACCACACCTGGGTCCACGGGACTGGGCAGGATGCACCGACGACATACCGAACAGGCTGAATAGCCCAGACAACAAGCCAACCCATACTTCCCAAAGCATCCCTCGGGATTGCAGTCCATCGGTGCACATGACCCCCTCCCTCCCCCCCCCGGCTTCACACCTTCATCCTGAACCCCTCCACACCTAAGGCGACCTTCCTCTATGCAGCGCAACCAAACACCCCCCGGGGCAGAGAGAAGAGGGGAGCAGAGTAGGGCGCACACGAATAAGCGGACACTACAGGAGCAGAGGGCTACACCGATGACACAGTGGAACCACACAACACGGAGGTGACGCAGAGGCAACTGGCCGACCGCAAGGCGGTGCACACATAGTAGACGCTACCCCCAAACCCATAGATACGTTCGCATTGTAGAATAAGCAGGCAAAGATTAATACACGACTTCACAAGGTGGAGGGACTTTACTATCGGCAGTACTCACTCTATCCACGGGGATACGTCTTCACGTGACGAAGACACACCCACCACACCTTGAACCACTTTCACTAGTTGACAAGGCGGAGAGGGACGCAAACCCCCCCCCCCCCCCCCTGTGTGAACAATAGTTACGGCGGAGAGTCGGCGGGCCCCGGAACAGGGACTTAGCCAACTGCTTCCGTGGTCGCACAGGCCACCTTGCAGGAGCAGGGCCGATGAGCTCAACAGGACTGACCACCAACACAACACGACTGTACCACCCACTCACGACAAATAACTCCACTCCAGATCTGATAGGGACACAGGGTGACCCCGACACCCCGCAGGCCCTTCCCCCCCCCGGGACACTCGCGCGGGGCGCGCTTGCCCCCTTCGCGTCCTTACCCACAACTGCAGGGGACTGAATATCCCAGAACGGAGGACACACCTGCTGCGGGACCTCAGGCAAAAGCGAATCTCGATAGCTCTTCTCCAGGAGACTCACTTCCGGGCAGACTCCGCCCCGACCATCAGGTACAGCACATACTCACAAACGTACTTCAGCAACCACCCCTAATCTAAGAAGGCAGGAGTAGCAATACTTCTTGCCACGAAGATGGGGTTTACGGAAACTGACAAAATCTTAGACCCGGAGGGCCGCTACGTCTACGTGAAAGGCACGATCACAAACAGTTCCTACACCATCGCATGTATATACGCCCCTAACCGGAAACAATCGCAGTTCATTCGCAGAACACTGAACATACTGGCAGAATTCACGGAAACAATAGCGAGTGAATTTTGGGCCTACTACACTCAGCTATATAATCTGCACTCACAGCCCCCTACTGCCTCGACACACGCCAGGAAAGGGGAAATTCAACGCTACTTAGCGCGGCATCTCGCTACCCATGTAACACAGGATGAGGCCGACCTCATGGAGGCTCCTATTACTGAAGCAGAAATTATGGCAGCAATCAAAACAACCAAGACGGGTAAGGCACCGGGCCCCGATGGACTTACCCTTGCATACTATAAAAAATTCGGAGACACGCTAATCCCAAAACTAACCAAAGCCATGAACGCAATCACAATGGGGGACAAGCTCCACGATGACACACTGGCAGTGACCATAACCATACTCCCCAAGCCGGGAAAGGACCCGGAGGAATGCAGTAGTTATAGGCCCATCTCTCTCCTGAACATAGATATTAAATTATTCACCAAGGTCCTTTCTAACCGCCTCAACTCGTTCCTTCCTAGACTGGTACACCCTGATCAAACGGGCTTTGTCCCAGGAAGGGAAGCTCGTGACAGTACACTACGGGCCCTCTCCATCCAACACCTCGCCAAACGCTCAGGAGATCGACTGCTATTTCTATCCACTGGTGCTGAAAAAGCCTTCGACAGGGTGGACTGGACCTTCCTGTCGGAGCTGCTTAGGGAGATGGGATTCAGCCCTAATCTGCTTACTTGGATTGCGGCAATTTACAGATGCCCAAATGCACGAGTTAGGGTAAACGGGGCACTCACGACCCCCTTCCCAATTCGGAACGGGACGAGGCAAGGGTGCCCTCTGTCCCCGCTAATCTTTGCCCTGACGCTGGAGCCTCTTCTCAAAGCCATACGAAATAATGGAGACATCAGGGGTTTCCACTCCGCCGGGTCACGCATAAAATGGCCTACACAGACGACATGTTATTCTTTGTCTCACAACCCAGAATTTCTCTCCCATGCCTTCTAAGCGAATTCACAACCTATGGTCATATCTCTGGCCTTAAACTAAATCTTTCAAAATGCGAGGTCCTCGATATATTGATACCCTGCGAGGAGAACGATTGCTTACGCACACAATTCCCATTCCGCTGGTGCGCGTCCAGGATGAGATACATCGGGATTAGGCTCACCAAGGACCCTCAAGATCTCTACGCGTTAAATTTTACTCCGCTTCTCGCTAAGATACAAAGAGACCTCTGTGATTGGAGCCCCCAAAACATATCGTGGCTGGGGCGCATTGCCGTTGTGAAAATGAATATATTGCCCCGACTGCTTTATATGTTCCAAATGTTACCAATGACGATACCCTCAGCATACTTCTCCTCACTTAGAGCTGCAATCAGGGCCGCCATCAGGGCATGACAACCGTAACGGTTGTCATGGGCCCGGCGGTCCTGGGGGGCCCGGACTGCTCAGGTCGTCCGGGCCCCACATTAAGTGGGTACATACCGGGTCGCAGGGGGCCCTGTGACCCCGGTATATACCCACAGGGCCAGCCTCTTCTCCTGGGGGGCCCAGCAGCCAGTCACATCAGGGCCCCCCAGAGGCTGGCCCTGAAAGCCGGCCGGCGCGCGAGGGAGCACTCTCCTCTGCTGCTGCCTCTTCGGCTCCCTCGCGCACCGTACTGAAGCCGGAGCCGGAAGATGACGTCATCTTCCGACTCCGGCATCAGTACGCGGCGCGCGAGGGGGCTGAAGAGGAAGCAGCAGAGGAGAGTGCTCCCTCAAGTACACACCACGGGAGGAAACTCCATGGAGGAAGGGAAAGAAATGGGAGGGAGGGAAGGAAATTTAGGGAGGGGGGGAGGAAGGAAATGAGGAGGAGGGGGGGAGGAAGGAAATGCGAGGGGGGAGGAAGGAAATTGAGGGGGGAGGAAAGAAATTGGGGAGGAAGGAACTTAAGGGAGGGAGGGAGGGGGATGAAGGAAATTTTATGGAGGGGATGGAAGGGAAAACTTATGGGAGAGGGGAGGAAGGAAATTGAGGGGAGGTAGGGGATGAAGGAAATTTATGGGAGGGGGAGGAAAGAAATTGGAGGGATGGGGATGAAATGAACTTATGGGAGGGAGTGAGGGGAGGAAAGAAATTGAGGGAGGGGGGGAGGAAGGAAATCATGGGAGGGGGAGGAAAAAGAAATTGAGGGAGGGGGAGGAAGGAAATCTCTAAGGCAGGGAGGGGAGGAAAGAAATCATGGGGAGGGGGAGGGGGAGGAAGGAAATTTAAGGGAGGGGGGAGGAAAGAAATTTAAGGGAGGGGTGGAGAGGAAGGAAATTTGAGGGGGGAGAGGAAGGAAATTGGAGGGAGGGGGGAGAGGAAGGAAATTTGAGGGAGGGAGGGGAAGGAAATTTGGGGGAGTGGGAGGAAGGAAATTTGAGGGGGGAGAAGGAAGTTGGAGAGGGAGGAGAAGAAAGAAATTGGAGAAAGGGGGAGAATAAGGAAATTGGAGGGAGGGAGGGGGAGAAGAAGGAAATTGGAGGGGGGAGAAGGAGAAGGAAATTGACGGGGGGGGGGGAGGGGGAGAGATTGACATCCATCACACACAATGCACCCCTTACACACACTCAATGCATCCCCTACAGACGCACACACTGCATCCCATACATACACAAACTCACCTTGCAGCCCTTACACATACAAACACAGATTCACACAATGCATTCCTTACACACATCAGGACATTCCCCCCCACACACTCCACCTCACACACAATGCACCCCTTACACACACTCAATGCATCCCTTACAGACGCACACACTGCATCCCATACATACACAAACTCACCTTGCAGCCCTTACACATACAAACACAGATTCACACAATGCATTCCTTACACACATCAGGACATACCCCACACACACACTCCACCCCCTGTGAACAAACTCATTGGTGGAACATGAAGGTGGACCCTGGGACCTAGACCTTGAGCTGTGTAAAGGGCCCTCAAAAAAATGGAGCTGATTCCCGTTGATCCCAGAACATTGATTTTTGTGACCACAGTTACAAAACGCCTCCAGAGAGCCTGTTCTACACCAGACCAGTGGAGCCAGACTGCAGCTAGAGCCCATCATCATCCTCATCTGGTTGTAAATAGGCAATCTAGTATATTATTTGTGGCACTAATCTCTAATTTACCTCAC